CCCTAGGGCCTAAACTCTCTTTGTTTATCTGCATATACATATAAATGATCAGTGGAAGAGCACTTGCCCGTACTTTCTACTTAGCACATCAGTGTTCATGGCCTCCACATATCACACAGAAGCCCAGCTCTACCATGTTTCTCAGCCTTAATAAGTTTTGATCTATGCTTCCTAATACACAGCTTTAATTACCAGGTAAGTCTTTTGGGGGGATCCTACCTGATCATAAAGATGTTCTTGAGAGGTACATTCAAATCCTAAAGGGCTTTGTTAGGTATTGTGAGAAAGGGAGCATCAGGACACTGATTTTTTGAATTGTCCACTCATTCTTTGAGTCCAAACCTGCAAGATTCACAGCCCCACAGCTTGTCGTATTGCAAAAGTTGGAATTTCACTGAGTTTGTAGGACACAGAGGTGGTTCGTCATAATAAGCCTGTATATAGGTGTTGCAGTTGTCCCCCCAGTCACTCTCTTGTTGTATAATTCTTAGTTAAGAAGCCTCAGTCGATTATCCTCTCACAGATAATGAATGCAGTGTAATATTATTCTAATTTGAAGGCCAGTGTGATACCAAGTAATTAAAATTTGCTAGTTTGTTGGACATGACATCTCTTCACTGAACATTCACATTACATTGTTTGTGAATATGCACATTCTGCCCTCATTTCAAAGCTGTAAATAAAATAGATCTAGCTTTGGTAGTGTTAGTGAAAGCACTACTTTCAGTGGTAAAATTTTAAATGCCATCATTTAGTATTGTCCCTCTGAGTTTTGTACAAATGTGCTGAATCACAAAGCTGAGCATTTACTGTAAGATGCTGTTCTTGCCTGCAGCCCAAGGCTTCCAAACAGACCTGCCTTCCATTCTTTGCTGATCTTACATTTCAGACTTTTAATCAAAATGCTATTTGTACTACATCATACACTCAAATTTCTGTGAGGCATTTTAAAACAGCACTGTTACTTTTAGCAAATAAGCGTGTAATCTCCTTAAAAGAAAAAAAAAGTCCAATTAGCTTGTCAGGCTCTATCTACCATAAACAGTGTTAACAGTGTTGAACAATTTCAATTAACAGACAGAAATATAATCATCTCTATTCTCTATTTATTCTCCAGAGCCAAACTGACACATCTTTTCTTGGTTGGATCACTCCAGTCACCCCTTTTAAAGTAAGTGGGGATTTACTGATAGGAAGTTCAATTTGCCATAGGACATAATGTGACAATAAATATGCTATATCCCACTCCCATTGCTTGCTTTTTCCAGTTTTCCAAAACTCTTCTATTAGTCCAAGCTCTACCAAAAATTAACACAAATATTCATAAGCCCTTGAGATACGTTTCTTGGGTTGGGTGCAGCTCATCGAGATGTGCTTCTTTAGGTGGTTGTTTTTAGCAGCTGCTGCTTAACAGCCTCCTCTGTTGCTGCTGGAGTAGAAAATACTTTTCATCATGAGAGGGGATGCTGTATTAGTATTTTCCATAACAGCAGAAGCATTTATTTTCCTGCTGATGTGAATATCAGGAGAGTTCAGTAAGCTAGCATATAAGCATTTGAAAGAGTGATTTAGACAACAGTAAACCAAACTCACAGTGAATGAACAGAATGTATGATTTTACAATTCTGTTAATAGAGTGCCATATAGGAAAGCCTAAACTAGAGGCCAAAAGTCAGCTGTCAGATGAACAAATACAACTGCTAGAGCAGAACACTCTTCCCTGGTCAGTTTTCTCAGTGAACAAATGGTTGCTAGCTCAAAGTGCTGGGCTGACTTAATTCTGTCGTTCCCAGAATTTTAGACAACATCTTGGCATGATGCTTCCAATTCCCGTATTGAAGAAATTTGTTACCTTCCAACACAGTGGTGCCACGTACCACGTGGGACTGCAGTCTGCCCAACAGTTGCTTTATCTCTGTAATCTTTAACCTGAGGGAATGCAATGTAAGAAGGCACGTGACTGGATTGGATTTAAGCTGAGCTTAAATGGCAAAAATTGAAGCTACATGATAGGAGTGATGCATCCATGAGGCAGAATGCAGTACTGCAAATATCAACAAGCTCACATCCTAAAAGTAGCATGGTTACGGTAGCACAACTTTGCATGCAAATTGGTTAGCCTTTGGTTAATTTCCATAGTGATATCTCTGGGCTGAAATTGTCAGTTCTGCTTTCATTTTTGTAGCTATTTCAGCAGTTCTTAGTAAATGTATGTCAGATGTCATCTGGCAGGTGTTACACTTCACTCACTTCACTTTCTGTCCCTGATATACCAGAGATGAGTGATGAGCGACTATGGAAAAGAAAATGTGTTGCTAGGAGGTTTTTTTCCTTCTGAGTGTTGCAACCTCCTATCCATTGAAATGAACAAGTTCACATCTGTAAAATGAGGTGGGAGTGTTTATTTCATTCACCATTACTTGACAGATTCTGAAGCCTACTAATTTTCAAACTGTTGTATAGTTTATTACGCTGCTTACTGTCTGTATATGGTGTCATTGCAAGCTGAGTTAATAACCTTGAAAATCAAAGTGATATTATTTAACAGCAGTAAACACCATTCTTTGAGTAGATTTACAAAAAATAAGTCATAATACTGCCCTAAGATATTAGTGCACTTTGTCCTAAAAGAAGAAAAAAAGCTAGGTATTAGGTAAAATACTACAAATCAGAGCTAACAACTCTGGGGGAAAAAAAAATGGAGGAGATTGCCAAAAGGTGTTCAGAACTTTCCATTGTTTCAGTGTGAAGTAGCCATTCCCAAAACCATAACATGCACATAGAATTAACAGATAAAACAACTCTGGCTTCAGTCTGATGACTGTATTAGCAGTTTTGAATGTGTATACAATGAATAACTTTTTTTTTCATCTATTCAATTAACATTAAGCTCTCCAAATTACCCAAATTATTCTCAACTAAGATTGCAGATGTTAAAAGTCCATTTACAATTACTGGGTTCTTGTAGTATACAGATGTTTGACTGGCCATGATTTGCAGGAAGAAAAAGAACAGTGACTGAATTATCTTCTTTCAGATAGTGGCTAGAGAAGTCCTAGTTTGAATGAATTGTTTCACAATCAAATCTTCCTTAATATGAGAATCTAGTCCTGCTGGAAGAATGCATATCTTTAATGATGATAAAACTAGAAGAAGAGATTGAGCATGACCTTAAAATAGATATTAGTCATCTAGAAAGTCAACACTGAATTCTCTGTACATCAACAAAATTCTGTTGAGCACTGGGATAAAAGGGATAGACAGGCTACTGGCTGTCATCTGCTGTCTCTACCACAGTAAAATTTCCATTGTTTTCATAAGATTGAAGACACTGGTGGAAAATACAGAACTGTAATCACTTTTGAAAAATTACTGCACAAAAATTTTCTTCTCAAAATACATGAAACGTAGCGAATAAGTTTACGTGACAAAATATATGTTATATAGGGAGCAATAAGCCTAAAACTATGCAGTTAATAAGATAGAAAAAAAATACAGAAATGCATGTGTCCTGAAGATTGGAGAAGGAGATGCTAACTTGACAAGAAAATAAGGCAGTAACTTCTCTCCTGTAGCTTTACCCAGCTCTCAGAATGATCATCCTGTTTTACTAGGCTTTACTTGGTCATGACCAGGTGTTGCACTGAAACAAGAGCTTTCATCATTTCCTTCATCAAAAAGGATCAAAACCCATTCATTATGCTATAAACAAAACAGCTGAAGAGCATGCAGGGAACCCACTGTTGAACTGTCTTTTTCATTAATTTCTAATTAGATGAGAGACTGCACACTCTTTTCCTAGCTTTGTTTTTGATTTTTTTTAATGAATATAATGGAATTAACATTACTCAGTTCATTGGTTCCCAGAATTGAGAAGATATGTGCTGAGCAAGAGGATTGATTCTTATTTGCTCTATTTAGGCATGAGCAGGCTTATTGATTCCATGCGTGTGATAGGACTCCTTGTGTAAAAGTGTGTTTAGGCTTTCATCCTGGTACAGAAACACAGAATCCCACGATGGCTGAGGCTGGCAGGGCTGCCAGGTCCACCAGGCCCAGGCCCGGCTGCAGCAGGGCCACCCATAGCAGCTGCCCAGGCCCGTGTCCATGTGGTTTTGGGAGATCTCCAAGGAGGAGGGGATCCACAGCCTCTCTGGGCAGCCTGTGCCAGGGCTTTGTCACTCACATGGTGCATAAGTGCTGCCTGGTGTTCAGAGGAAACGTCGTGTTCCAGTTTGTGCCCACTGCCATCTGCTTGTGAATCATCTAATCTCCCCCTTTTGAACACATTAAATTCAAAGTGTGGCAAAGGAAACCAGGCTTACCACACTTACAATAACCATCTCTCTTACGCAGGACACATGCTGAATTTCAGCTTTCTCTGCTCACTTCATGCAGAAGATGTTGCAATTCTTTAAATGTCCTGTGTTTTACAGCTGCTGGTGAGTTTATCAAGAGCTGTAGTTCAAGCTTGAACTAAAGAAGTTCCAAACTGCTAACTCCTGGAATTTGGAAAGTGTACTTTACTTATAGTTTTTCATAAACATAAACCACTACCACAAACAGAGGCAAGAACGCTGAAACAGATGAACATGTGGTCTACAGCAACACAAATCTTTTGCTTGATTTCTCATTCACAGACTCCTAATTGTCCATAATCCAGAACAGCCAGCCTGTTACCATTGACCATACTCTGAATGTATCCCTCAGCAACATGTACAAACTGTTCCCCGAAGAGTCAGATTCCAGAGGAGGTTTAGGTTAGACATAAGGAAGAACGTTTTCTCTCAGTGGTCAGGCACTGGAATGGCTGCACAGGGAGGTGGTGGAGTCACCGTCCCTGCAGTGTTCAAGAGGCGTCTGGATGAGGAGCTGCAAGATATGGTTTAGTGCTTGTGGCAGCAATGGTGATGGGAGGATTGTTGGACTAGATGATCTTGTAGGCCCTTTCCAACCTTGTGATTCTATGATGATGATTCTATGATGATGCCATAAAACAGTCGAGAACAGATCCCCTCTCAGCCACAAGATCCCCTACCCCCACAAGATGTGATTTTGGTGTACAATTGAGACAGCTTGCGGGTTTCCTTTGCTTGTTGTTTCTGCCTGTATCAGAAATGTGTGCTTAAGCTCTGAGATTTAACTATACAACATAATATTGCGTGAGACTTGTTATGAATCAGAGCTCTAGTTGCTTAAGTCTCTGGATGAAAAAGCTCTTTCAGCTCAGACATACTTTGTCTTTCAACATTTATCTTTCAACATGAGACGTGAGAAGTGACTGAGTGGGCTACAGGAGAACAGACTTATTTTTGAGGCCTTCCACATGGCGCCTATCTCTTCTAAAGAACAGAGGTGGGAAGCTTTTTTTCTTTTTTTTTTGTACATTTGGATTCTGCATGCCCTTCAGCAATATAAAGTCTGCTATGACTCTATGACTTCACAACTGTGTGAAGCTCCTAGACCACCCAGTTTCTGCCTAGCACCCCCTCAGCACAGCTATATCAAAAATCTGCTTAACATCTTTAAGGAACGATACAAGCACAAAGGTGATATATGGTAGGTAGATCACCAACTTTTCTCCACTGAAGAGTATAGTCACAATATATAGTCTGCCTGAAGAAAGGAGTAATTTGGGATATTCACCCTTATAACACCTGAGGGACACGTTTATTTCACTATTTTTGAGAGAAATTCTCAACTTATGACACAAGGAAATGAAATTAACAGTTATTGAGGAGGAAAAGCCTTCTCTCATCATCTGAAATTGTGGAAAAACTTGAATTAAATCAAAGCTTAAACACTGTTTTCTTCTGGTCACTTTCTAAATGAAGCCTTTAAAACTAAGCAATGTGGTTAATTGTACATTCAATTGACAGTTTGCAAAGTGCTAATTGTACTGATCACTGTGATGCTGTTCTTCCAAAAGATATTCCCTAAACATCATGGCCTTCACTGGCTGCTCATAAACGAGTTTGATGTAGATGCTATCATAGGTCCCAAAGCAAATCCTTTGGGTGTGACTGAAGCAGGAAAACGCGAGGTGGATAAACATAATGTATTGCTAACCTTGTTACATTGCTAGAATAATGCACAGTGAAAAAAATGCAGAGTTTACTATGAAAGATGCAGTTCTCAAACTCCAGTCTGAATGGGAGAGATGCCATAACCCAGCTGGGTGGAACCTGTCATCAGAGTTGCAGAGGAAGGCAGTGTGGCCTTCTTGAATCGAACTGTTAATTCTGTCTTTAGTTCACTAGATAATATAAAAGCTTGCCAAATCAGCAAGGAGGAAAAGCACTCCGGGCTGCAAAACATCTTGGGACCCTTCTCTGAGAAAGAGAAGGAGTTTTTCTTTAGTTGCTTTGTTCGCAGAAAACATACCTGTAAATCTGGTAATTGCATTACTTGAATTAATGCATCAGAGATGCCTTAAGTGAGAGGGACAGACTCTGACTCTCCTTAATGAAGACAGACGAGCTCAATAAAGACTGACACAGAGCATGATTCAGAGAAGCTTACGTGCTTTGAATCACACTTGCCAAGAAGCTGTCATCTTTCTCTTGGGACTGAGCTGCAAGCTTATTTTTCTTTTAACAATCTAGGTGAGTTTCAGTGAAGCAATGGGCAAACTATGTCTTTTCTGAACAGCTTTGTCCAATTGACGCTGAAACAGTAGTCATGTTTTTCCTCTGTTTTTGGCAGACAAACCAAAAAACAAAAACACTGCCACTGGGTTTGAAAGGTGCATGAATGGAGTTTGAAAGACAAGTTGTCTGGTGAAGCACCCCATGCAAAAAATGATAATGAAGAGCAAACTAATTTAAATATCACATTGACTCCAAGCAGCACCAGAGAAAGAAGTTGGACTACTTAGCATCAGAGTGTGGTTTGAATGTGAATTTTGCAGTCGTCACTCTTCAGGCATCCCTGCATGGGATTTTCTGACAGAGTCATAGCATTACTACAGTATATTCAGAAGTAAAACAAAAAGTAAATGTTTCCAATTTGTATTTTCAGAGTTTGCTGCAATCAAAATGAGACCATCTGAGCAGCAAGCATCTGAACTGCAAACTTAAATGCTTTAACTGAGTTCTCTATTAGAAAGGAAATAAGGAAGCAGCATGTATTAGCTGATGCAGTATCTGCTAAATAAGGTAGCTTTGTGCTTCTCTCTTTTCCCTCCATGCATTTTGTTGTATGAGGCACAATTGTTTTTTCTCTTTTTGCTGAAAAATTGTTAGCCTATGCAGCCAGGCAGAGAAAGAGCAAGGGAACTTACAAGAGTTTAAGAAGCAACGGATCTGCAGTTAACATCCTTGGTAACTGTAGTTTTGGTGCTGCTTCCCATCATCCCCATGCTGACAACAGGTGACAGAATGGTTCCAGGAATGTAAATAGCTGCAGAATCCATAAAAACAAGGCTCAACATTGGTCAGCAACTCCCTGCTTCATCTGCTTTTCCCAATGAAGGCCCACACTGCCAGGCCACCAGGGTGCATTATCTGTGCTTGGGGCAGCAAAGGGAGGTGAAAAAACCAAGGACGAGCCAGATGAAGTGAGAAGACACAGCTTCAACATGGAGCTGAGGACAGAATGTGCTCAGCAGTGATAGGAATAGCAAACAGAAGCAATGGCAGTTTTGTATTGGGTGAGAGTGCTGGAAATGGTGCTGTAAAGAGAGTTTGGATGCTGCACTGCGGGCCTACAGAACAGAATTAAATTTCTCAATTCTTCTGATGAACCAAAAGCTATGATTCCTGCTTTTAATCTCCACCTTTTAGAGGCTCTTGACATCACGAAGAAATCACATTATTAATATAAAAATAAAATAAAATAAACCTCCAGAGGACTCAGAATTCAAGTGAACCATGTTTCTTGTGCGTTCACTGCTCTGCATTTGGAAATGGGTTAATATTCAGACTGGATAATTGTATACTGCATTTACAGTAGACATGTCTTGCTCTGTAGGTGACTGAGATTGGGCAAAGCAGAACAGCTGAGAGAATCAGACTGTACCTGACAATTTGCTGGAACTGATAGCAGAAAATTATACCAACATGAAAAATGCCCACGTTCTCAACAGAACTCATTCTCACGACGGAAAAAGTAGCAGATGTTATTTCAAATAAATGCTTTCAAATCCACTCATTTTTTAATGTTTTGAGTGTTTATAAGAATGCAATCACATTTCTTTCTTCTTTTTCCTTTTTCTTCTCTTTGTCTCAGAATTACAGCTAAGCAGAACCAACTAAGCAAACAGAAATCTCAGTAACAAGAGACTTCCATTTTTTGATGACCTTCAAAATAAGTAGAGTATAATCCTTTCTGCTTTCTTCTGTTTTTACGTATTGAGCAGATACAAATATATAGTCATACAAACATTTCTCCCAAAATTAGCATTATTACTTTATTTGGTGATTCATTACAATCTGCAAATCCAATAGTAAAAAAAAAAAAAATAAAATAAACTAGGCATAATGTTAAAGCATTTTACAAGCAAAACATTTTACTGCTTTCTTTTCAATTTGAATAGGTTGGGATAAGTGTATTGGTTAGAGGATATAAAGTACAGAAGAAACAAAACCATAGTTGATCTAACTGTACTGAAGAATGCTACAATCCCATGAGTGAACAGGATTTAAACAGCGATAAATGTCAGTGGAAAACCATACACTTCAGCATTAACAAGGCTGCCTTCCCATGACAATGATGCATCATGAAGGCTGTAAGCCAACTTACGCTGTAGATCACCCTACTTTAAAGAAACTAAAGAGTTAAACAAGCCACGATGCACCTATCTATGCTCATCTCTTTTCTACTGGAACAAAGGCTAGAATGGAGAGAGGGAATTTTTAACATCAGCTTCTGAAACCACTTATAGTAATGTCCATCTCTTGTATATTCAGTATCATGGAGCTAGCAAAGCTTTGAGCTTTTTATTATCACTGTGCTTGCAGGTTTAAAAAAAAAAAAAAAAAAAGTACTTTTTCACTGTGTAGCAACAAAGTAAAAATATAGTGCTCCTATCCCATTGTAATCTCTTCTATGTTCCTCCAGCTGTACAAATCCGTCTTTAAAGTTTCATAAAACTAAAAAATAGTTGATCTAGATTGTAATAAAAAAGAATATTAAATACCTTTGGTAAAAATAGATATATTTAACAAGTTTAGAAAAGCAAATAGTTATATTGTCAAAAGGAGAGTATAAAAATGTACACAATAAAAATAACAAACAAACAAGAAATCATCAGCCATTGTATTAAGAATAAAGGCATTGTTCTTTTCAACGTTTTCTTCCTTAGCTCACGTTATTGTCCAGTCTTCTTTCTAAAAGGCAGGAGCTTTACTAGAGCATATGGAAAAATCCAGTCTTTCCTACCAGCGTTAGACAAATTAAGTTTAATTCAGAGCAAGACAGTCTGTTATAAACCAAATTTATAAAACAGAGAATGCTTTGAGTACATAGGAGTAGTTGAACACAGAAAGAAAGATTTCAGATGTTTTCAGCCAGAGGCCAGATGTTCTGGAGCTGTAGAAATGAAACAGCCAGCAGGATCGAGTCTCCATGATGTGAGCCTTCTAACTTTATTTTTACTCCTAAATTATAAATCCGTGTATTGTCAAGAAAACTGTAGGGGACAAAAAAAATACATGTATTTTAAATCTCTCATTGATGCCTTTCTCCCATCCTTTCACTGGGCCTCCAAACAGAGCTGTCATACATCACATAATCCCAGTTTTGCTTCTCCTCTTTTTAGAGCTCACTGTAAATCCTGAAGATGGAAGTTCCCCAAAGCAAACAACTGAGATTACAGAAGGAGATAATGCACAAGCCCCATAATAGAATCAGCAAGGATTGAACGTGCTTCAAAGAAAACAGCACAATTAAATCATGTTTATCCTTCAGTATTCCCTTTGCATACACAGTCACACTCCTCGTGGTGTTCCAAGGGTACATCTGTCAGTGATTTATGCAATCCTCGGACACCACTCCTTGGCTTCAGCTGAAGAACCTGAAGGAGAAGAAGTCAAGCATCAACAGAACAGCGAGTACTTTATCACACACCTAGGCTACGAGTTAGACTGCACTGGAAACACACTGGATGGCAGGAAAGCTATTAAAAGAAATAGGCTTTTCTCAGCTGAATTTCTTCATTTATTCCACTCATTAATTTTTTACTTTGGCTTTTACACCAAACCCTTCACAAAAGTTATTAGAACATATAGGTAAATCAATTTAATGATTAGGTAATTCTGCAATAAATACTGTTAGTTATAAATTTATAACAATAGAAACGGGACAGATATTTATCTCTTCCTTCACGGAGTACGTTTCTACAGCTGGAGAAAGCTGAACAAGGAGGTATGGTTGTCACGTGCCCAAACTGCACTAGTAAACAAATGCTTCAGAAATGACTCAACAGTTTCACAGAAAAGCATTTTAACAAGGAAGGTAATTTTTGTTTTCTTTATGTGATATATCATTAAAAATGGTTTAGATATATATATTTACCATATGCGCACTGCATGCAATATTAAAATATATATTGATACATTCCTACAGTAAAAAGAAATTCTTACACTGGCTTGCAGTACTTCCAAACATGAAAATGTAGAAAAGTGCTTACCTCGTGGTATTTTTTGGTGACTTTTGTTGGTATACATTGGCACTCATTGCAGTTCTGATGACAACAGGCACAGTTTCCACCACAACGCTTAACCAGGAGACACAGCGGCCAGAAAATGGTGTCAGTTCGCTTCAGCTCCTCCCTCAGTGACACTGAGAAGTTGCGAGGAGTGCAACTATACAGCCGCACTTCTTCCTTTAGCAAGTTGAGATCAACCACTGCAAAGAGACAAACAAATGGAAAGACCTTTGTTTAGGAGTATTCACCGATTGTTGTGTAACTCTGGAGGTGTTCGTTCAAATTAGACAGAGCAAACCTTGGCCACTCCGTTCCAGTAAATGTTTTACCACTTCAATCCTAATGGAGTTCCCTTTGTGCAACACTGAGTTTGAGTGCTGCTGTTCCATATTAATAGTGGATTGGAAAAATGCTCACAGCAATTAAGAAGACTACAACCCTCCACACAAGATTTTGAATTCATTTGCTTAAAGCATTCAAACCTCTCTCCCACTACAGTGTCAATTATTGCTTTTCTGCAAGTGTGATGCAAGTATAAATAAGAAACCACTTATTTCTAAGAAGCTCACTTCTGTGGACAAAGAATTAAGGAACTTACATAATCACCAGTGAGTACTGCACAGACAACAAATAAGCGCACAAGCATGTTTTTAATTGCAGTATATTCTATTTTTCAGAGGTCCCCTCTTCCTCCAAGGCAATTTAAATATGAATCACAGAATCTCACAATGTCAGGGATTGGAAGGGACCTCAAAAGATCACCTCTTCCAATCCCCCTGGCGGAGCATGCACATCTAGATCAGGTCACAAGGAATGCATCCAGGTGGATTTTGAATGCCTCCAGAGGAGGAGATCACACAACCTCTCTGGGCAGCCTTTCCCAGTGTTCTGTTATCTTTACTGTGAAGAAGTTTTTTCTCTTATTTATGTGGAACCTCCTGTCTTCCAGCTTGTACGCATTGCCCCTTGTCCTATTACTGGGTGTCACTGAGAAGAGCCTGGCTCCATCCTCCTGACACTCACCCTTCACATATTTATAAACATTAATGGAGTCATCCCTCAATCTTTCAGCCTTTCCTCAACAGGGAGGATCATGAATCTCTCCCGATTCCCTAAAACTCATTTTCATTTGATGTGCCTTTAAATATAGTTCCTCTTTCTAGGCATCTACCTTCAAGCGCAAGTTCATTATTCACATAGAAACCTGTTTTCCTATAATCTGGTTCCACTGTATCACAGTAAAGCTTTACTATGCCAATGGTTAAACAGCTAGCTCACAAAAAGACCAGACACAGGGCACACTGCTTTAGGTTCCCCTCAGCTACACAGCCAAGAAATAATAGAGGCAATTAAGTCTGAAGACCGAGAATTGATTTAGGGAAAAAAAAAATAATACGTTTTTTTACTTTGGTGAAAAGCAATTTCATTTCATTTCTTTCAGAAAAGCCAGACTATAATTATCATGTTCTGGGATATTTTGTCTACACTGCTTCTCTCCAAACCTACCAGCATTAAGGAATATCAGCAGCATTCAGTTCACAAACATATTCCAACTGGTCAGTATTATTTTATCTTTCTGAACAGAAAGAATAACTAAAACCCTGTGATAAAATGGCTTTTGAGACTGTTGTAATAGAAGTCTCAAAGCAGCACAGAGCTTCAAGCCAACTGCTTTTGAGCTAAATCAAGAATAAACTAGGAGTAAAAATAACCAGTACAGTTAAAAAAATCAGATTATTAACATTACTTCACAAATCTTTTATATTTCCTGCTAGTAGTTTGTAAACTAAAAAAAAAAAAAGAACAACTATAAAATAAAGCTGAAATATCTTCCTGAGCTGAATTGCTCACTAGAGAAATACCTTTTTTCCTACTTATTATGTAAGGAGTCTCCAGAGATCACCAAGGAGATCTTCTGTCTACCAAGGCAAGATATTGATACTGAAACATGTAGGAAATGAAGAGAATTTAGAAGATTCACTTCCTAAGCAGAAATGCTCACCAGTACTCCCTCAGAAACAGATACTGAGCAGCAATTTCATTCTGTGTTTCTTAAAATATTTCCTTTGCAGACCATATCCATACACTGGTATCCCTAAGTCAGGCCTTGGTGCTGTGAAGGGTCAGTTAAACACACTGAAGCTTTTCCTCTGCTTACATTTACAGTGAATGCCAAGTTGGGGCACTTCATTCCTTTACTATCAGGTTAACATAGGGTCCAAATAAACAATCTGATTTGAAAAGTCAGGAGTGTGTAATAACTCCAATAAAGTTACTGACAGGATGCCAGGCTGCCTCCCACACTGCAAGCACATTCCTTGGAGAATGCTGAGAAGAGAGCAGAGGAATAGAGACAGAAATTACTGGGGAGAGATTTGCTGTGAGAAATTAAAAATTATTTAAGGTCTTCTGATCAGCTAATAGCTCTAGGCTGAGTCATTCAGAGGGTGGACGTGTCTACCTGCATTAATCGAGGGCTGTGGAAAGGAATCTAATGCTTCTTTCTCGTGTTACATTTTCAAACATACAAGAACTGAATTGTCAAAATGAAAATAAAATGCCTAAAATGCAAGAGAAACAGTAGTTCTGCTCCTGCTGGAAGATTTCCAGAGAGACTGAGATTTGGTACAGTTTGGCTTGTTGCAGTGAACTTGAGGACACTTATGCATCCTAACACAGCCGGATGGCACTTTGCCATGAGTAACTGAAAGCAGAAATTGGGCACTGATGCTTTTTATTCCAGCAAAACCATTGACCCACAGGAGAGAGATGCCTGTGTGGCATTCAGCTTCCCTGATAACTTCTGCCTACTCGCAACAGCACAGGAATGCAGCCATTTCCTAGTCCTAGCTGACGTTACAGGATAGAGAAAAGAGTTACGTGCTAACAGGAGCAGTAAGTGCATTGTACATTTTACCACGGAATCTGAATGAATTTGAGCTGAACCCTTCGGATGTGCAGGCTCAAATTTAAAAAGATTCTATGCAAGAACTCATTCAGCACTTGGCCAAAAAGATACAGTATGCTTTGCTGTAACAACAGGGTTCTGGAGAGATGAAAAATGCCATGTTTGGTTTCCATGCTTTACAATGTATAAAGGTATATTGCTATTATACCTTGCAGTGAACCCTTGCCCTACCTTAGGTAATTCAATTTCATTAAAAGGTCTGTGGCAAATTTATCTAGTGCTTATATAATCACTTCTTTGAAGTGTGTGAATGAAGCTGTTATTTTTTCAAAGAGTATCTGTCTGTCCAAAATTTATTTTAACGCACTGTGGGCATGAAGCTAGATGAGAGAATGTATATATTCCCTTAAAAGTGTTTACTTAACCACAATAAAAGGTTATGTGGATTTCCCAAGTGCACTTAGTTACAGTACCTGTTATAATGTGAACATTTAAACACTCTTTCAACTTGGCTGCCACTCATATATCATGTTTGACACAACAGTCAAAGTTCTTTTGTTTAGCATTAGCTCAGGAGGAATGGAAGGTTCTGTAGTAGCACATGAATGGGAAATACTATAAAATAAAAATAAGTGAAAAGGAGAAAAAATGGAGAAAAAACACAGATACAGGTAAAACCTACAGTAAAACCTATTTCTAAAGTGCACCTTTATTATATTAATACATACATCTGAAGTACTCTGTGTTCACATCTGCCTGAAAATATCTATGTTCTACAGTTGGCACTGCAACTGTCTAGCATCTTAAATTCTCACTGGGACTCTTGTGTGTAGGCATCGATAGGAGCAGAATTGCTTCAGTTTCTAAGCACCTTTGGTTAGAAACCTTCAGTTTCTAAGGCATTCCTGGAAGTGTAGTTTCCTATAATAGGTCAGGGCTTTTACAAAACAGGTTCCCATGCAATTTTTGAATTGCAAACATGGATAACAGAAAAAAAAAAAAAAAGAAACAAACTCATAACTTTTACAGTTGAAAAGTATCTACAAAGTAGTATGGTTGGATAATGACTGTTCTTAAGCAGCCTTCTGAATATGACCTGATGATTATACAAAAATTTATGTGGGAAGTGGTGGAATCACTTTTTTGCACAGCAATATGTATTTTATTTTTAAGTATGTTTAATATTATAAAAGAATTTAGGACTATATTTAGACATCAAAGCCTCTGAACTTGGTGTTTCTTTTTTCCTGGCTAATTTTTGGAAGCATTTTATCCAGAAAAAAAAACATCAGAGACAGAAGTTCTGTGGAATTTAGGTCGTTTAAATATAGTTTTTTCATATGACTTATTAAGTAGCAGTAAAGGACAGTACTCTTCACAAACTAACACACACTTTTAATTAGATTTATGTTTTATCTTATGAAAGCAGGACAGCAATTTAGTTCTTACACTGGAATACTGCAAAACCGAGATTTACCTAATTATGGGACCCGAGAATTTGAGGGGGGAAAAAAACCCAACAGAATAAAACAAAAAAACATTTATGGTATGCACATTCCCAAACGTTTCTTAAATAGATTTTTAAATACAGCAAACCTTCCATTAAATGGAGTAACATTTAAAAAAAGTTTGTTTTCCATGTCTATTGAATAGACCTAGCAGTTAATGTTGTGTCATCTCAACTGGACACATTTTCTTCTCCAAGCTATTACATTACACACTCAGTAATGCAGTCTGAGGGTGGTCTCCTTAAGATGAATGTGGCAATACTGTTATATGTTTATTCAGTGGAAAAAATCTATTTCAGCATCTAATTAGAAGTCTTTAAAAGATTTACTGTCATCATTGCTTTCAAAGATATGTCTTGCAGAGAGTCACTTTTTTCTACATAGATGTTATCTAACGCATGCATTTTAGTTTATGTAAGGTTTCACAAATTACTTTTTTTTTCTCCCACTTACTCTATGCTTATGGCATATATTTGGCAAATACTGAAACTCTTTAATTAGTCAAGTAATTAGGCAAGTGCTAAATGACTATCTGAAAGACATCGTTCACTGCTGGAAGCTTTTAAAGAGACTTCCTCCTCTTTGACTCTTAATTTAGTTGTTATGTGCCAATCTGTAGTAATAGAGGTAAGGTTGAAGGGTTGGTTTTTAGGCTCTGATCCAAAAATCAGACATCCAAAACTTAAATTTCAGTTATGAAAAGTTCCATCTCCTCCATTTTCTGACTAATCAGATGATAATCTAGTTTCAATTCACTGCCAGAGGACTCTATTCAGTTACTCCTGTAGGTCACCATTTTCATGCTGTGTAATGGACAAAGAAGGAGATATTATGCTGTCCCTCCATGTGGAATCACAGAACAGGTTGGGTTGGAAGGGACCTCAAGGGTCATGACTCTCCAACCCCCTGTCACATGCAGGGCCACCAACCTCCACATTTAACACCAGCCCAGGGCCCCATCCAACCTGGCCTTTAGAACTTCCAGGGATGGACGGGGCATCCACAGTGTCTCTGGGCAGCTGTTCCAGCACCTCACCACTCTCATAGCAAAGAACTTCCCCCTGACATCCAACCTAAATCTTCCCTCCTTCAACTTAAAACCATTTCCCCTTGTCCTACTGCATCTACCCTTTCAAAGATTGATTCCCCTCCTGTTTGTAGGTTCCCTTTAGGTATTGAATCCTTTAGGTACGGCATCTGGACAATACGTTGAGAAAAACTCATGAGTGCCTAAATTTGGCATGGAAGAAAATGACTTGCTGAATGAGAAACAGCTCCACAAATCTTAAAATACATAGCCTATCTTACATCTGATTAATGCAGTTGAAAACTCCTTGTTTAAACTGAACACGGAGTTAGGAATTTCATGAGGTATTATGGAAGAGATATTTAGCTAACTGCACTGAGTTCACATGGTGTAGATACTAGAACAATTCTAAGGAAGTAAACCTGTGATACAGTAAGTGTATCTATAAAAAATAGAAAGTTTTTGCCCTCTATAAAAAAAAGAAATCTAGAGAGTTAGGTTATGCAACTCAGACATGATACCCTGCCACTGTGAAAACGAGGAGCTCCCAATTCCCTAGAGTAAGGTACCTTACCTGCTTCAAGTACTTTTTCCTTTGGTAGTTTATACTGCTAAATTCCTTTAATTTCTGAGTTTAGTTATTGTTCTTTTCTAGAAAATATAATTGTGAAGATACCTAATAACAATTATCTCCAATTCTTTTCTTGGAATCAAGGTGATGAATACTCTTAATTGCTTTTTATTGCCACGAAAACACACCTGTAGAAAGCTGCAAGGCCAAAGAAAAGAGTAATTTACCTCTTGATTTTCTCCCATGAATATATGCCTTTCCAAGAAGTTGCCACGTTGGCCTGTACAAGTCTTCCAAATCCAGCTGCCACCGATCTGGTTCAAGGTACCGGATAAGTTCTTCCACAGTACTGAATCCAGCAACAGCATTGTTTAATACATCTAATGGCAAAGCTGATGGGGGTAGCGATGGTGGGCTAGGTGCTTCTGTGTGGTGCTGCAATCAAAGCCAAGAGAAGAGTACCAGTCAGAGGTTTAATGGATCTGCTTTGATGAAGTGTTGTACTTTGTAAGTTACATAGCTGGGAAAGTTTATACGTAGCTAGCTTGTTTCCAGTGCACAAAAAGACAAATGACAAGAGTCAAAAAGTATCTAATTATTCTCCAGCCATAAGTGTAAACAATTTTTCACAAGACAGCTTTCCCATTTCTTACATTCCTTGCCTTAAAGACAGCATGTTAATATACCTGCTCTTTGAAGAAATTCACTAAGTGATGGACAAGATTTTCGAAACAGAAAGAATGATTTGCAAATACGGCCCCATTACGGGCAATTACTGCAACCTTATAGAAATCTGAAGAAACACACAGTTCACATGTTGCCTTTCCTATGAAACTTAGCCACAGTCTTTTTGTTCCCAGTTTTCAATGTAAAATTTGAACATCCATCCCTATTATGAAGATAGCGAATATTCATGTTCTCATCAAACAAACAAACAAAAGCATCACCATTGTTTTATATTGTGCTAGAAATTGTATTTCTAGCTACGTGGTAGCTAGATAACATCTGGCATGACTACAACTCTTTCCCCCTTAAGAAAAGGAAAAGTTATTCCCAAGGATTTAAAAAAAATTTAGACACTGAAACTCAGCACTGAAAAAAATCACTGTACTTTCCTGCAGCACAAAACTCACTCCAAAACTTGCACTTGCTGGCTCAGGGCTATCAGTAGAAGGCAGTTACAGTGAAACTTCTCATTTTGTTCTCATTACAGTCTGTTTAAAAATTCTGCACTGATCTGTATTTTCAAAAGACTTTAAAAAAGCAAGAAGAGAAATCTAGGCAGGAAGTTCTGCAACACCATCATAAGTTTCTTTAGGTTTTTATATACACAGACATTGCTACAGATACTGAGTTCACAGCACTACACTAAGTCAGTTTTCTGGACCACGTAAGAATAAAGGCTTGAACCTGATTAGAGGACAGGAAGAACAAGAAATCAGCAAGCTAAGTGCATAATGTTACATTATCACTGCATTCAAGTGTGGTGCGTGTAAGATTTAGGGAACATATATTCACTATAAGCACGTTCAAGCTTTGGGAAAGGCTGTCCAGAGAGGGCAAGTACATCAACTAATATGCTTTGCAGTCGGTGTTGTGCAGCAGGGAAATGGGGTAAGATCTACACTAGTTTGTGTCATTATTATATTGTCACTATATGCATACATACATATACATGCAGCAGACTTAGTGTCAAAATGGCACTCTCACCACTGCAATGTGAAATGCAATTTCATTTTTTCCATCTGTAAGGTGGAATCAGTTGTATTTCTTCATCTTTACAAAATGAATACAGAAATAGACCAATTGGAAATGTCCAGCTAGGCAAAAAAATATATAATAATAAAATAATTCTTGTAATGCTACACACTATGCAGAAATTTTCTAAAATACATAAATACATAGCTGTATTTCATACAAATAATTGCATTTTCCCTTCCATGCTCTCAATTCTATTAAACATGTATTTTTGCCTTCAACTGTATCTGTGGTTGGAAGGGCAGCAAAAAGGGAAGCACCCACCATACTCCTATTTTTTGCTTAAGGGTTTTGTCTCTCTCCATCTTCAAGAACTGCAGTCATTGGAGTGACCTGTGCTTTTTAACAGGGAGCTTTGTAAAGATGACAGAGAACATAAATCTAATGTACTAATTACCAACTTTATTTTCATTTTGCTTTTCTTGTTCCATTTCCAATAGAGTGAGTGAAGTAGTTACTTCTCATTCTGGATGGATGTGGATTTCTAAAAGTTAAAGCATTTCTTTCTCTCTTCTCTCCAATGGCCATAATAAAAATAATAACATACTGACCCATCTATTAGGTTATGATAATAAGGCAACAGATTCTGGTCTATAATTTAAATATTTGCTCTTAGCAAAACATGCTATTCAGCAAGTTTCAAAATAGTGCTGTGACACTGTAATTCAGATGGTTAAAAAAAAAAAAATTACAAAATTTTTGTTCCTGTTTTTAGCCATAATGATGTATTTGTTAACTTCCCTGGTTGGAAGGCGGAGGAGTTTGCTAAGGGAAAAAATAAACTAAGCCTCAAATGGTGGAAGTAGTACCAGAAAAAAAAAATTCTTCTACTTGTTTCTAACAGGAGAAAGTACTTTGGTTTCTGATTTCTATTGAGATCTTTTGCTTCCAAGTGAAATAGATGGACTCCAGATAAAAATCTGTCTGTCTAGAAACTACTTCTATATTTCACAACCTTGAACGTGCACACTTAGCAATACATATATTGGAATTCATTGATTAGTGCTGTTCTGGATTCAGTAAGCATTTGCCAGTTATAATATTATGAAGAAATGGTGAATCATTGTGCTCAACAGTAGCACAATTAAAGCTGTCATCACCTTCTAATCATTCTCATAGCAAACTAAAACGTGAAGAAAAGTAACTAAAACAGCTGAATTGCACAACTTTTTGAATAAAGTGGTTGAAATCAAGATTAATTATGTATTTTCCAATAATCTCTTAGTCAATTTAAATTCCATAGTTAACATACATCAAAGATTATAGATAATCAATATCATAAAGTTATGTGTTGCAATTCATACGTATAATATTTTTAATGAAATCTCAAATCAATAAACCTAAATAAAAATGCCAACTGAAATTATACTCTACATTACTCTTCCTTACTAATAAGTGTTACTTAATTTGTAAGTTACATCTTTTGGATGGAAAGGAGCTGCAAACTGGTACTCCTTCCTCTGACCAAAATAATCTGTTGGAATTTTATCAATATATAATTTCATTCAATGTTCCCAAACTTTTTCTCTGTTCCATGCATCCTCAGTTAATACCGATGTTTTAGGCTTCAGCCTGTTTATGCATGAGGATGTATAATTTCCATTAAGACAGATATTAAAATTACCTCAACAAGTTCCATATGTCAGTGTGACTCCTCCAATTGACAAAACACTCTATGGGTTTTAGTTTTGTGTCCAGGGAACAACTTCAACTTACTTTAATAAGAGTAAAGAAGCTTAAGAACAAGACAGAGCTAAATAGTTGCATCTTTAGTTACTAAAAATGATTCAGGATGAAAACCAGAGCAGAAAACTTAGGATTTCTGCTGCCCTGCAGAACAGCCAAGAATGACAATTAGTGTTGGATCAAACAGAAGTCTCAGAAGGGCTTTTTATACCATATTTCTGTGTTTGTACTCGACTCTGTCAAAACAAATACCTTCTAGAAATTCTCAGAGGTGTTCACGAGCATTAAAGACAAGCAAATAGATCAAATTTAGGCTACAGTTTTACTTACAGGCTTGGAAAAAAAAGAAGAAAATAATACAAAGGCTTCACAGACCTATCCAGCCCTGAAGGTTATACATAACAGCAGTACTCAGGAAGAAATCTAGGGAGTAAAATGCATGTTAGTGTTCTCAGAATCATAGTGGTGCCCTGCTGGAGTAATCAAAGTTGCCTCATCTAGCCTCTTTCCCAAAGGGAAAAGGGTATGACACATACATGGGACAACGAAGATGCCCACTGGTGAAGCAGTAAATCTGAATAAAAACTACAGCACATGAATATGAAGTTACCTAGTTGAAGATAAGACCTAAGGACAATGTCGTTTGTGGTCTAACTTGAAAAGTTCATTTCTTTGATTTATTTCATTTGATCGATTCATTTCTTGCTCTGACACGTATTTCCTGTATATTCCTGAGAATCTGACTTAGGCCACAGCTTCCTGGTGCAAAGCTTCTGGCAGCAGCATCTCCTTGTTGTGTCAGCATGACTGTGTATGAGGCTGCATCATTGACAAGAACCAATCTTTCTAAAAGAGAACGTTGCCCCTCTCCATTTTTCTTTAAACCCATGTTTGTTCACAGCATAGATATCTTCACAGCTAAACCATCCCAACCAAAAGTGCAGTGGCCAGTAAGACAAACATTGTCAGATTCACTGTGGCACCAACCATGTCAAATGTGTAAAATAAGCATAATGTCAATTGCTTGATATCATAAGTCCTATGAATACAATAAACATTAGATTAATAGTTTGTCTGAATAATACATAAGTCTGAAGAGTAAAACTTTGGATGTGAGACAATATTTTGCTATCCACCTGTGGTTCTCTTGCCCAGAACCTGATCCAAGGATCAACTATTCAGAACAAAACAGCACTACCAACTACACAAGATAAACTCTTAAGCACAACTGCAATATAAGCAAATATTTCCTTTTGCTCCTGCCTCCTAGGTACCAACTATCAAGGTACTGGCACTACCCCTTCCAGTTAAAGGAGAAGAAAGATGTAATATTCTTAGTGTGCTGCTGCCAACAGTAATGAATTCCACATTTAATAACGCAATCACCGAGTTAAGACTGGAACAACAAAAACCAGTGAGTCAAATACCTGGCATGACAGCACATTTACAACTGTCTTGAAGAAAACACTGTCAAGATGTTTTTGAGTGAAAACTCATTCATCAGCTGGCAGAGTTTGGAGAAACTGTTAAGTATCGGTGTGGTTTCACTGGGCAAGAAGGCACTTTTGTAACCAAAAATCGATCAATCAATCAATCAAAATAAGGGGACTCCTCCACAACAATCAGAAATAGAAAGAAATTTGAAAGATTTCTTCTAATTAGGTATTCTTATAGCTTTACCATTATTATAAAATAATAGATTTAGAGGTATGCTGTTGAAATTGAAAGCACATGTACATTATTGTAGCACAAAGAAGAAAGCCTATTTTGTACCTCTATAGGTTGCCCTCCTATCAGCCTCTTTAGAAACTATGAAGAAGAGCAGATATCCAGCTCAGAAGGATTTTACCCTGAGGACACAGAAGCTTCTTGGCATAACAGTACCTCTTTCTTTTCTCCCATTACCAGATGCAATAATGACTCTTAAAAGCCTCAACAAATCAAATCATTACCTACCCACAAGCACCAACGTACTTAATGCACATGTATGT